CCCCTGTTATCAGGTGTATCTAATTGTGTACAATAGGATTTTGAGCAAAGTTTTTACCATTAAATTATGCAAAAGGTGTCAGACGCAAAACATTTCAGAAACCGGACGTATCAAATATGATACATTTGGCATTACAGGGTTAATGACGGGCTGACAGCTGTAATTAGGGCACATCTGGTTTCACAACAGCCCCTTAGCAGATGCCCTTTGGGAGTTTTTCCTGCAGGCAGTTGTATTTTGTACGTTTCCAATTGGAGCATAATCACATAATTGGTTTTTATGAATAGTGAACATTTACTGGAAATCTTAACCAAAAGGTCAGGAAATGCCTGTCAGAGGTATGGTGCATGTCATTGGGATGAGAAGCTCAAACCTCAGTGGTTTTTTCCTTCTCTTCCTCCATAAATCTCTCAAGCTCCCACCTTAATTTTGCCTCTGTTTAATCAAGCTTGTTTCTCTTTTGCTCCTTTCTACTGGACCTGTCGGGTCTCTGGTTAGCCAGACCCTGATCCTGTAATGCTTTTAATCTCCTTTTCTTGTTCTGAGAACCCGACTTTTCCTGCTCTTACTTTCCTCATTTTGTGTCCACGTGCACAGGAGTTTATTTGGACCTACGACAGTCTAACGAGTTAGTGGCACGGCAAATATGTGATGAGCTGTATTTGTGGAAACAGCTAACTGACTCCATGAGTGCAAAAAATGCCAAAAAACGTAGATTAGACGTCAGACATAGAGGAAATTAAACAAGAAGACCACTCAGAGAACAAAACCAGAGACCTGGCATGTAGCTCGAAGCCTATTTTAGAGGAAAATAGACACAGATTTGAGTGTGTTTTCAGACAGTGTGTTGTTAGAATTGGGCTATAATTACTCACTTAAGCACAGTGTGTTATAACTTAATCCATGTAAATGACGGACGTAAATCACTTTTCTTATTCCTTTTTAGATTTATATTGTTCCCTTTATAATGATACTTTTGGGTTAAACCCTCTGGCTGTGTCTACTCCTCCTCTCTGTTACAGTATATACACTTTCTTATCACATTCCACTGAAACCTGCATGAATTAGGACCTGGCCTGTTCATGTCAGAGCTAACTGGCCAATAACACTCGGTTACGTCCAGCCGTCTTCCTGTTTGAGGCCCAGAAGATAAATGTCCATCACAACTGGAAATGGAGGCTCTTTGCTAACTTTGATCCTCCGGGAACTTTTGTCTGTTAGAGCCTAGCTGATTTACTTGATTTGCTTGTGACCAATAAATGTCCTATTTGTACTTTTGATCTGCTCTGGTTTACTCTCAGGCTTCCAGCTAAAGAATCAAGCTAACAGTGTGAATGGCTGTTTGTAGGCTACTATAATACCAAATGTGTCATATTTGATTCATACCGTTTCTGAAGTCTTTTGGATCTGAGACTTTTTGCATCATTCAGTGGTAAAAGCTTTGCTCAAACCCCTGTTGTACACATTCAGATAAACCTGATAACAGCCAGTAGAACACTACACCAACATATATTTTTGAATTATTGCATGCTAATTTGATCAAAATAATTTCTGTTTTTTTTTCTTCATATGTTTTGAGGGGCCAAAGAAAGACTTCAGATTAAAAAACAATCCAATATTTTTCCTATTTTTCTTGGATCGGGCTTTGAAAGGTTAGGGCAGGCCTGAGTCATCAGCCACTCCTTCAACGGAATGCCCGCGTCTTACAAAGACCTCCGAAAAAAGCTATTATCTCTGCTCTGTTTGGCAAAGGTAAAAGGGCAATGATCTTACAACATGACAGACATAACTGCACTGACCTGGAGCGCTGGAGCGTTGGAGGGTTGCTCTTCCACAGAAAAGGCGCCTCCTTACGTCACAGGGCGTTGCACAGTTTCACAGCATCTCTCACAAAGTGCACAGGAGAGCAGGATGAGGCTAAAAGCAGTAACAGGGAAAGCTAAAAGCAGTAACAGGGAAAGCT